TCCCTTTCCCAGAAAAACGGCAGAGGACAGGTCAAGAGCGCTTCGGGTCAAGCTAACAGCCTGATGGCGACTCTTGTACACAGTCTTAATGTTTGATTTTGGGAAGGTTCAACCTCTGCCTCTATCCCTCAACATATGGGTGACCTATTTGCTTGTAAAAATATAAAGCCTTTTCATTAATTAATAAAAAAGGGGGATATGTAGGAAGCCGGTTCCTGCATTATCCATTACAATAATAGGTGCCTGATGACACCAAGATGTAAATTACTTCACAGGCGCTGGGTAATCTCCATTCCTTTGATCTCTGCCTATCCCGTGGCTCATTTAGCCTGAGGAGCTGAAGCCATTCATAGGGTAACACTTCCCAGGCGGCTGGCCAGCCTTTATAAGGGATGGTTTTCTTGGTTCAATGTCTCCGCTCTGGAAAGCTTATGCTCTCCCCTCTCAAGATGCATTAAAGCTTGTCTGCAGAAGGATCCGAGTGTCCTGCGTGTATTTCTTGCTGGCGAGAAAATACAGAGCGCGCGGGACACACACTGTATCAGAGGGGACATGGGAAGGGCTGGAAGGAGAAAAGGGAAGGGGGAGAGTTGTGTCATTATAATTTAATTAAAAATAAATTAAAACCACCTGAAAATGTCTCAGGACATATGTAGAAGACAAGTATGTTACTAAGTAGCCAACTCTAGAGGACCAGGCATGGTGGGAATTCACTCAAACAGAGTCAAAAGCAGCACGGGTCCACTTGTCAAGAGTCTCCTTCTGTAGTGTTTGTAGCAATCACAGCTTAGCATGCTTTGAGCAGGAGTCTGTGTTCTTGTTCTACTTGCTCTGCTCTTCTTCGTTTTTTCTTCTCCCACACAAGCCCCCCACACTGCAGCCCACACACTCACTCAGTGAACGCTACACAGGCCCATGGGAAGACAGGCGTTGCGCTATACTGACTGTTGTACGATACTGAACAGCCTGCTGACTCAGGGCTCTTTCTGCCTAGAAAAAGGAAGAGAAAGGCAAGCAGCTGCAAGTAGCATAGGAAGAAGACAACACACTCAGGGACCCAGAAACACTTCAGCTAAGGGCCAAAGATGGGGCATCCATTGTACCTCACCTCAATTAGGCTCAGCTCAACCATCCCAGCCTAGCTTCCCATGTCACCAACCAACACTCCACTGAGTTAGCTCCCTCCCTATCTCTTCTGGTTTCCTCTATAGCTTCAACACCCATGGAAATGACTTCACGTCTCCTTTCTGTCTCCTCAGACCTTTAACCTTCAACCTTCCAGTCACCTGCTCCAGGATGAATGATCTCTGCCTTCTATTGGCTCACTCACTACCAGAGCTTGTAAAAGTTCCTCAAATCACCCATCTTCAGAAAGTCCTCAACACTTTCCACCAGTGACAGATACTGTTAGCGGTGAAGCATCTTTAAGCAGTTGTCAAGGCACTGGAGAGCTGGCTTAGCAGCTAGTGTTCAGTGTGCTTTCGGAGGACCCAAGTTCGATTCCCATCACCACAAAAATTA